GAAATGGCTGCGCCCAGCCATTTCGGCTGTTCCGGCAGCGTTTTTGCATCCTCCTCTCGCTTACCAAGGGCGCAAAAACGCTGCGCATGGCCATTTTGGGGTCGCGCGGCGGCCATTTTGGACCTGCCGACCAGCTGATCGGCGGGGCGCAAAGCGAAGGTCGGTAAGCGAACCGCTTACCGACCTTCGCTCTGCGATTTTCGCCCATTGGGGGCATCGCTCTGCGATCGCATTATACAGTGCCTCGTTCTGCGAGGCACCACTGTATACTGTAATCTGACTGTTATATGGAAGTTATGTGTTGCATTTGCCCTTATTTTATTTATCTATGTTTTAACATAGTAAGAATAAAAGATCACCACCCCCATGGGTTCTTTGCTAGAAGCAGCAACTACATTTAAATGTCAACCCACAAGCTCTGCATCATGCTCCATGTATTTCCTCTTTTCTGACTTCTTATTCAAGGCTTATGATTGAACATAACAGACCACACTGCCGGGTTGGACCAACAATCTGTCTAGTGCAATATCCTCTTTCCTGCAGTGGCCAGCCACATGTTACAAGGCAGCCCACAAGCTAGGCATGAAGGCAAGAATTGTGAACCCAGGATTGCCCTTTCCCAGCAACCGTATTGATTGTCTCTGAATATTGAGTCTTGACTAAGCCGTCATGTCTAGTGGCCTCCATAAATTTGTCTAATTCCCTTTTAAAGTCCCATAATCCTGTGGCTGTCAGTGCATCATTTGCAGCAAACTCCATAACTTAACTGTGTGTCATGCAAAGAAGTGCTTTATTACGTTTGTCCTGACTTTACTGCCAATTAGTATCATTCATTGATGTTCAGAGCTTGGAACTAACTGGTTGGCAATATCTAGTTTTTTTGAAATTAGAGTACTCCTGCAGTAACCAAGATATAACTGTATTAGACATAATAATAGATGAAATGAAGGTAAGATTGGAAAAGGGGGCATCCCCCAGAAATTTTGGGCTGAGCTGTCATTCTTAGATAGTACTGTAATGTTTGACTGCTAAATAATGGAAGAGGAACGTCACATGCTTTGTGTGACAGGTCATGATGTGCCTTGTGCTGCTGCCTTGTGCTGTATTGTGGCTATTGAGACAATAACAGTGATTTAATTATTTAGTAACTTTTGAGAAATAGCAAAGTAGAGATTTACTTTTAAAAATTCTAACTGTAGTCATTTTTTCCCCAAGACACTGAGCTGTACCTAACTAGTTTTTAGGAAAAAAAATGTCAAATTTTGATATTTTTGAAGGAAGGAGTAAAGGAACAAAAGACTAAAAGAAACTGATTCCTCTATGCTGTGCATAATGCGATTAAAACCTCTTTAGTTGTTGCTTTCCCAGCAAGACACTTCGCCTCTTTAATTATTAGGTTTGGTCTTTTTTGCCTTTTCCCCAGATCTACAGTATCGTTTTAGAGATGGGCTGATCATAAACAGTTATCCTATGTGGCTGTTGCACCATTGATTAAAGGCATGATAATAATGGCTGATACAGTTTGAATTCCTTGAATGATCTTTTCACTGCTGCTACCCATAAAAATCTCCACTGGGCTATGTATTCACCTTCCCTCCCCCACAATGTACACCAATATACTCACACTAAATCTCATTTCCCAGTTTGTTTTCAGTTGGAGAACTTTTGGAGTTCTTCACAATTTTACTTGTGTGTCATATCTATTTTAAATGATTTCCTATTATCTACAAACTTAGTCACCCTGCTACTCCATTTCAATGCTGGATAATTTATATACATTAAATAGTACCAGCTTGAAGACAGATCCTTGGGGAACCCACTGCTTATTTCCTTTCATTGTGGAAACTGTCTGTTTACTACTACTCTCTGCTTCCTGTTTTCAACTGGTTACAAATCTATAAAAGGACTTGTGCTTGTAATCATTGACTGCTACGTTTACTCAGCAGAGTCCTGTGAGACTTTAAAGATTAAGACATTTATTATCACTTTCATGGACAATAGCCCACCTCATCAGATGCATGGATTGTTATCTAGAATTTCAGGGCTTATGTATACAGTGCACATGGCGAAGGATGGAATTTTTGGCAGTGAGGTCAGAGGAAAATGAAAACTAGAAAGCACTGACAATGACATTATTAAGTACTGGCCATTCACAAAAACTGGCATAACAAATCCCCTGGCACTGAATAAGCCAATGCTTATCATGTACTATGATAATAAATTGTTATACTGATTCAAACTCGTGATTATAAGACTGGAAGCTCTTAAGTATTTTAATTTGGTGAGGAAATCTGTCCTGTTAAAATATTAAGTTCTGTATGCCGGAAGATATTAAAATAACCAGTCACGGAAGAGTGAGCAGGTATCAGAACAAAACCATTAATTATGCTGGCTCCCCAACCTTGACTTCTGGGAGCTGAAGTAAAAAATGTTCCAAACTCTGCCATGTACCAGACATGTTACAAAAACTAAAGGAAATAATCAGACTTCTTGAAAGTTTAATTAAAATCCCTTCTTTAAAGCGTTGATCAAGAATGAGCAGCTTGATATTTTATATTCCCACAGTATAGAACTGCTACTAGGTTATAATAATGAGCCTCGTGGCGCAGTGGTTAAAACGCTGTACTGCATCTAAAACTGTGCTCACGACCTGGGGTTCAAATCCCAGGTAGCCGGCTCAAGGTTGACTCAGCCTTCCATCCTTCCGAGGTCGGTAAAATGAGTACCCAGCTTGCTGGGGGGGCAATGTGTAGCCTGTATAATTAAAAAATTGTAAACCGCCCGGAGAGTGCTTGTAGCGCTATGGGGCGGTATATAAATCCAATAAATAAATAAATAAATAAATAAATAAATACTTGGATTGTACCTTTTACTCAAACTACAGATCCTTCTGCTGAAGCTGAGGGCATGTTGTAGTGCTGAACCCTTGGTTGCTGCCATCATCCCTGGGAAGGAAAGAGGGATAGACTGAGTCAGTTATCAGTCGCTTGTGTTCCAAGTGTGAGTTTCTTGAGTTTCGAGTGTGAAAATATGAGTTAGCAAGGATGTGTGCACTCTTAGGTACTGGATTGCTTCTCCTCTTAACCTGCAGTGGCATGCTCACTCTTTTGCAAAGAGAACAACGCAACCTGCTAGATAAGGTGCATCCATGCTGGATTTTCCTCACAAGGTTTGGAGTGCTAGAATTATTGTTTCCCACAAAAAGTGGCATATGCTTTTAACATCACACACATCACGAATGTTGGCACATCCAAAGGAACAAGCCCTATGACTTAGCAGAGTAGTTAGTACAGCCACCTCAGGCAACAGATTTGGAAAGGGCAGCAAATTGTTCCTTTATTGTTTTTGTGTGTTTACTGTCAGGGATGGAAGGGACGAATCTGGAATTTCCTGCCTCCCGTGCCAAAATATCTTCCTTGCTTTTAGATATTTACACATGTTGACTTGGATGGATCATAGAGGGCCCCATTTACTGCTTATCATCTCCCCACCCCAATAGCCAGCCACTTTGTTTCAAGCAGCCAATGTGAGGGTGTCGGGGACAATCACAGGGTAATTGGCAGCCTTTTGAGATTGAGAGCGAGGTGTCAAAACGCCAAACCATGCTGCAGGGATGCTAGAGACTGCAACCTCAGGAGGACTAGGATCACCTCTCACAGACATGTCCCATCATTTTTTGGGTTATGTCTACAATTTTTCTCCACTAGCCATGAAGAGGTTCTGTTCAGCCTGATGCCATGGAGTTTCTCCACCAAAGCTTGCAGTTTGTTTGATTTTTTTTTTTTTTGTGGTCCCGTAGAAAGTATAACCCACTCTTAGATCTGTATGCTCCGACTCAGGCAGCAAAGTATTTTGGGCTGGTGCTGGTATGACTGCCCAACCCTAGTTAAAATTGTTCTTAAAATTCTAAGCAGGGAGAGTGGACCTCCCCTGCCCAATAAAATCATATTTCATATTTATAGCTAAAGACACCAAGCAAAGTGAAATGGGTGGTGTGCAGCTAAACTGGACATTACAGAGCACCTGGTTATTTGAACAGAAAATTCCTCATACATTTCTCTAATGTTTCAAGGCTTGAAAATCAGCTAGTGTTGTTTTCTGTTTGATTTTCA